TGAATGTCCTAGTGCACACACCCTACACTTCATCTAACCTAGATCCCAGAATCCCCATATTAGCCGAACTGCTAGATATCTATACTTAAGCAGTATCCTTCCCCGCGATAGCCGCCTGACGATTAAATGCGGCCTCAAAACACTGAATAGATTTACTGAACAAAAAATTGTACCACTTACGGGCTATTCATGCCCGTGCCATCTTTTGGGTGACTTAATCTTTATCAATCACCTGAAACGACACGACCAAAGAGCACATTCACTCCAAACGTCTACAGTACCACCTTCGGGCTACTCATGCCCGTGTCACCTTTTGTAGTGGCTTAATCTTCACCAGTCAATCAATCACCTGCAGCCAAGTCGTATTCGAGGTGTGACAACGTCTGTCAGTCTACTGACTGTTACTTGGCCCACAAATGTGTTGTCTGACACATTTCGAAGTGATAAACAATTCAAGCCTGGGCCCGGGCAGGGCTTGGGGAGTAGAACTCCCAGAACCCCATCCAGGTATAATGGATCTGCTAGTTCCTGTTTGAAATATACTTTCCTCGAATTCATATGAGTGTTCTCGTTAGCACTCATTTAAGATGTTGAAGATGTATAGAGTATTGTACATAAAAAGTTGTGCAGAGCTTAAATTCAAATGTTAAGCTTATCTGGTGTTTTGAAGAATAGTGTGATATGTTGCCTGAAGCCGATATTTGTGTTCGTATTGGTGACGTTTGTTGAGTAAGAAGGGATTGTTGAGAAATGAGAAATATTTAACATGTTTACTTGGTTGTTGAAGTGATACACACTGTCGTTGCTTCAAGGGCTTTATTCAGAAAGGCAATAATGTATATATCCGGTTGCAGGCGATGAGTCACAATAACGTGGCTGAAGTATGTTGACCAGAATCGACTTGAGAATGGTCCAGGACGGACCGAAACGTCGTCGTCCCTTCAATTTCTAGTGTGTGGTCTGGTCAATATATATCCGGTACACCGAGGTCACAAGGTCCTACCCTTGTCTAAGGTCTGATATAAGGACTACTTGAGAGCGGCCAGAGCCTGCTCTCTGGGATAACGTCATGGGCCTACTCGCCTCTGTGATTGGCTATACACCAACCGTCATACAATTTGAGGGCTAACACTTACACTTCTGAATTTAGGAACTAAAGCTAAGTTTGACAATGTGTAGGCCTAGAAAGTGTCTTTATATTATGCACTCAATCACATTTATTTTGAGATTTTTTTGAGTTCGCTTAGGCTATTTGTTTTCAAATAATTCTAAACTGTTTACCCTTACAAAACTAATTGAATATCACATACAATGATGATACATATTAAACAAAATTTCCTCGAAAATACCTTGTAAATCAGGCGCGTCATATAAGCCGACAAATAAAGAGTATATATGAGAGAAGCGTGTCCCACTTAAAGAGTGACAAGCGTGCTTCACACCCAAGTTTACGTGTGGGTGTTGGTCAGTAAGAGGCTACGGAAGTGTCTTCCACACTACTCGTCCCACGGGTCCAGTCCTTCAACCTCTCGCCACGAAATGTCGTTGGCGGGACAACGGGGTTATGTATCACGGAGAGGGGATGGGGAACAGTTGACACGCAGTTGAGAATGTCGTAAAGGTACTTAGGCAGTAGTGGGGTTCAAGAGGATAGTCGCGAAGAGAGATGAGGTGGAGAATTGACGAGAGGATGGGGTAGCTGTGAAAATGGTGGAGACAGGACAAGGAACGACCATGAGTAGTGGGGGCGCTGGGGAGGTGGGAGGGAAACATTGCTAATTGTTCCTCGTACAATGTAACCAGCGTCCGGAAGTGGAGAGGTGCTACACAGAGGAGTCAACCCGTTAACCGTCCCACCTTCTCTACCACCAAACTTCCTCTGTCCTCTCCTCTCACCCCAGCCCCCACGATCTTTGAACTCGCGGTCCTAAACATGATTTTTGCATCTTGGCAAAAAGCTCATCATGGTCCAGTTGGTAGTGCGTGTGCCTGGGGGAGTCCAGGGACGCGGGTTCGATCCCATCGCATGACCTCAATATTTTATCATAGATATCACGTCCATGTGATTCCATTGTGCGGGATTATAGCCGTTGGGAACGGGTTCAGAGGACGATCTCTCGTCTTTAAATTAAACTCCAAGCAACTCCACCACCACCTAAGCTGTTTTAAGGTTGTTTACCCTTAATTTATCTATTCAGGGAGAATCAAGAAAACGGTGGTTCAATTCACGCACGCAAGAGCATATACGTTATATGTAAACGCATATATGTGCACGCACACACGCACGCTAAATGCAAACGCACACGCACGTACTTCCGTCCACGAACCCCCACAATTGCACCCCCAGCGACCACCCACACGTGACGAGTTGAAGGCCGTTTCCGAGCTGCCCACACATGTGGCTAAAACTAGGACACGTGTCTCCCAACCCATCCTACATGTGGCTGACATTAAGACACGCGCCACCCACTCTACACGTGGCTGGCACATGCCGCCTGTCTTACAGGTGGCAGTACCTTGAATCATGGCCCCAACACGTACAGAAACATACATTTTACCTCAGGCCTCTAGATGGCACACCAAGCCACAAATATTTTACATGGCACAGCAAATACCAGGATACATGCCGCCTACCCCACATACGGTAACACCAGGACACATGCTGCCTAACCCGCATACGGTGGACACACGACCTACCAGACACGTGGCAGATACTGGGACACGCGCCGCTGTGAGGTAAGGTATAAGTTGAGCTAACCAGCGCACGAATTCCATTAAATCACAACCACCGAGTCGCGCTATTATGTGTATTACGACTCACTCCACTACCCGACCGTAGAATTGTTGGGAAAACGGCCGATATAGTACGAGTAGTTACCCATTTTTGAGCAGGTGTACTCGCACAACTTCCGGTCGCCATCTTGTGGGTTTAGTATATACATTTTCACCGAGTTAAGTTTGAACTTCAACATCTTAATATAGTCTCCATATATGGGCTAGAATTTTAGGTTAGTTATCTCTACATTGGTGTTTTAATTAGCATCGCAAAAAAACATTGAAATGGTTCATCTTCTGCCCCATGAAGAAATTGTTAACTGATTCTCAACTGCTATATTTTACTATAAATGTATTGTTATTTTAATTTTGTTAGAGTCTATTATTTTCAAACTTACATGGGGTATGAATATTTTTATTTATCATCTTAGGTTTTCAAAGCATAGTAGTCTATGCTGTTCCATCTTGAGTCACATCATGCTTATGAATATAAGTTTGCCCGTCTACAGATTCTCAGTTGACACCTTATCTTACTGGTGCCAGGAACGTGCTGATGAATGTTAGATCTTAACACAACCAAAGACAAACTGACATTATTCGCAAGGTCTATGTAGGCTACTTTATTCCTATAAAACGACGCCATTCATATTCAAACTAGAATGGCGTCGGTCATTCTAGACGTCAGAACCATCGACACTGCACATAATTCACACCTAGACGAACACACAAAGCCTAGTGTGCAAATCGAAGAAAAGAAAACTGAGAAAGTCCAAAGATTTACAACAGGACTGATACAAAAAAGTAACTAGCCAAGGCTATTAAGGTAGGCTTAAGCTCAACACTACAAGAGAAAGAACCAGAGAAGACATGATCCTAACATAAAAGATACGGAGGGTGATAGACGGGATGGTCTGTTTCAAATGGGACACATTAAACGAATCGGCAAAGGTAAAACTTTGGAATAAAAGAGACAGACGCAAGGAAGTACTCATTTAGTGAAGTATACACGCGCCAGCATACAAACTGGATCCTTCATATGTATTATTGACCTTTAACAGCTTTTAATGTTTGCCAAGAAATTACTGTAGTCCATACTGTGAGTCTTCGCACTCTCCACTCCAAGATTGCGAGCTGTTAACTTGGACAGTCTGCGTATGGTGCCATACATGCAAAGGCGCTATAAATAACGTTGAATGTAGCTAACTGTTAACGCTGCTGTGGAAATGAAATATTAATTAACTGAACTTAATTCGAGCAATCAATTTTCGTTTTACTATATTAAGTTTAGGTGTGAACTACGAGAGGCAACGAGGGCGTAAATAATAATTAATCCAGGTAAAACCACTAATCATAGAGGAACATTTGATGATATGAGTTGCCGTAGAGCCAGAGGCGGTAATCAGCGGGCTTTCACAACCTGTATAGTTCTTGTTGTTGAAGATTCGCTACTTGGAACAAAAAGTTCCAAGTAACACGGGCTATGGTGAGTCCGTACCTGTATAGAAGCTCTCCTGTCCTCGTGGTGGCGGGCGACGGGCCTAACTACCCACCTTTAACGACCCCAGGCCGCCCTAAACAACCCCCGGTGAACCTTTCCTTGCCGGTATTTGGCAGAGAATTTCTATGACTGATCGGAATTAATTGGAAAGTAGAAGCAACAGGTTACAGCCTATGCAGATGATTTAGTGCGTTAAGATTGAATTATCTTGCAGATAAGTGTGTATGCGGGTGGGTTAAATTCATCATTCACCTAACAAATACACTCAAAATAATTAGATCTTCTTACATATTAAACCTAAAACAGGGTTTTAAAATGACAACATTCGTGCACATAAGAATTTCACAGCGTAATAAGTATATGCTTGTGACCTGAAATATGTATTCACTTGATGGGACATGGATTATCATGCTTTATCTAAACAAAATGTCTTATTGAACAATATTTCTGTTATAAATTATAGTTCTAACAAAAATATATATGTGTTCCCAGCTCTCTGGGCTGTTAACATATATGCTCACTATCAACTCCAAAATCTTTAAAAGTGTTAATTGATTCTTGCAAAGCCTCACATTTGTCCAAAAATATCACTAATATCAGCTTTATCACTAATAAATGAATGCAAAGTATGGAGGGGGGTCACAAGTGAATATTTTAGTTCGGAAGAGAGGAAGCGGCGCACTTAGTTATACTTTTAATCAAGACACTTATGATCAATTTGCCTCACCTGATTACAAACAGCATCACAGTTGACGGTGATCTCTGCCAAGCTGGACACAGCACAGCCCACCACCAGCACCACCACCACCTCCACACTCCAGTATGCCATAGTCGAGCTTAAGTTATAAATGTAGTATTCGCATTTTCACAATTAAGAAGTCATTAACACGCGGGCGAACTGACGCCAGTTTATATGGCTATTGTGGACGCCGCCGAGGCCTACAGCATGACAACACCGACCAGTGTTACGGCCCACATTGATAGTTCTTCATTCAGTCACAGGTCAAAATGGAGTTACATAGGGGTAATAAGACTGTGATGCAGATGCTTCCGCAACAAGGGTTAACAAGTGACTGAATGCTTCCATTAGTTCCATCCTCATCCCACCGGCCCAGGGACCAACCCGCCTCCCTCTCACTCACTCTCACGGACCTCGCGCTCACACTCTCCCACACACTAACTCACACGGTCCTCCAGCGCAGGGCAAGGGGCAGTGCCCCAATTTATTTATTTATTTATTTATTTATTTATTTATTTATTTATTTATTTATATACAAGAAGGTACATTGGGTTAGAGAGAATACATGGCATAGTATTTACAATCTTGTAAAGCCACTAGTACGCGCAACGTTTCAGGCAGGTCCTTAATCTAACAGATAATTTTAAGTAGGTAAATTCTAGCAGAATTAATAAAATGATAACAGATACAATGCAAGAAAAAAAAATCGAAAAATTCGAAGTGTAATACAGTTTACGTCAGTCCACTACTGTCTTTTGGGTTGAAGTATATTAGCTAGCTGGCCAACACGCTATTGCTTATGTGTGTACTCACCAGGTTGTGCATGATGGGGTTGAGCTTTGGTTCTTTGGTCCCGCCTCTCAACCATCAATAAACTGGTGTACGAGCCTATTGGGCTCTATCATATCTACATTTGAGACTATATGGAGTCTGCCTCCTCATCGCTGCCTTTTACATTCCATTTCTTAACTATTCTGACACTGACAAAATTGTTTCTATGTCTGTGGTTCATTTGGATACCCGTTTCCACCGGTGTTCCCTTGTGCGAGTACCACCTGAGTTATATAATCTGCCTTTAACTACCTTATAAATTCCCCTGATTGTTTTCGATGTATTAATCATGTCTCCCCTAATTCTTCTGTCTTCCAACGACGGGGTTCAATTCATGTAGCCTATCCTCGTAACTCATATCTCGTAGCGCTGGAACTGGTCTGGTAGCATACTTTTGAACCTTCTCCAATTTCGTCTTGTGCTTGACTAGGTACGGACCCCACGCTGGAGCCGTATACTCCATGTTCTTGTTTTATATTTAGCTACTCAGAACGAAATGTCCATGTAGCACGGGTTATAGTGAACCCGTAACGTATACTCCAGAATTGGTCTTATGTATGTGGTATACAAGGTACTAAATGATTCCTTACTGTTAGCCAGCCTCGCATACGCCGCTGATGATATCATTTTAATGTGGGCTTCAGGAAACAGGTTCGGTGTGATTTTAACTACCTAGATTCTTCTCTCTGTTCGTTTCATGGACGGAAGAAGGATCTTTCATTTGGTATCTTGTGGCTGGCCTCCTGCTCCCTTCACCTGTGTTTGTGTATTTACTGTTTGTGTCTGCAGACTCGAGCTATTAGCTCTTGGATCCCGCCTCTCTAACCAATCTATTTTTCCTCTATTATATCTACTACATATACATTATTTCTCTCTAACACACACACACATCCCCAGGAATCAGTCCGTAGCAGCTGTCTAACTCCCAGGTACCTGTTTACTGCTAGATAACAGGAGCATCGGGGTGAAAGAAACTGTACGTTTCCGCCGGCAGCCGGGATCGAACCGGAACCCGGACCCTGGGATTACGAGTCGCAATCGCTGTCATTCAGCCACGGCTCCCCTATGTACTCACCTAGTTGTGCTTGCGGGGGTTGAGCTCTGGCTCTTTGGTCCCGCCTCTCAACCGTCAATCAACTGAAGCACAGATTCCTGAGCCTATTGGGCTCTATCATATTTACATTTGAAACTGTGTATGGAGTCAGCCTCCACCACATCACTGTCTAATGCATTCCACCTGTTAACTACTCTGACACTGAAAAAGTTCTTTCTAACGTCCCTGTGACTCATTTGGGTACTCAGTCTCCACCTGTGTCCCCTTGTTCGCGTACCACCCGTGTTGAAAAGTTTATTCTTAACTACCCTGTCAATTCCTCTGAGAATTTTGTAGGTAGTGATCATATCTCCCCCTTACTTTTCTATCTTCCAGTGTCGTGTGGTGTATTTCACGCAGCCTTTCCTCGTAACTCATGCCTCTTAGTTCTGGGACTAGCCTAGTGGCATACCTCTGAACTTTTTCCAGCTTCGTCTTGTGCTTGACAAGGTACGGGCTCCATGCTGGGGCCGCATACTCCAGGATTGGTCTTACATATGCTGTGTACAAGGTTCTGAATGATTCCTTACACCGTGTGTGTGTGTGTGTGTTTGTTTATGCGTGCTTGTGTAGGAAAGTGTTTGTGTGCACGTGCACTTGCTTGCAGGATAAACCCCATTATTATAGTGTTCATAAGCAATTTCAAGGAAGCATTAATTAAGTTTGAGAGCATCCGTATATTTAACATAAGCTCAAGGAATACAACAAGTCAACAGATGAATATATATATACAAATAATCTGAGATATTAATCATCATGAAGATAATGCTTAAGAGATAACATGACTCCAAATACAGGTATACAGGTAGCCTACACAGAATTGTAGTATATTTAATACATATTCAACCAATTATAACTATATCTGAACTGCATAGTCCTAAACAAACTCGGTATTTAAATAACAATGCTCACTAATTTATATACAACAGAACCCGATTATTATCTGAACAAATCCACGAGGGCCGTGATGAGGGTATCGATTATTATTTCTTTTTATATTTAAATTATGTTAGATGCGGAAATACATAAGAGATACATAAGATCATCCTGGGGTCAGTCCACATCCTGCCGAGGCCCTGGTGGTGTTGGACACGCAGTGTCAGCCTTCCATAGTGTCCCCTCCACAATCTCAAACTTATATTCCCGTTTGTGCGTCTGGGTTACCTTACCTTGAGATGCTTCCGGGGCTCAGTGTCCCCGCGGCCCGGTCGTCGACCAGGCCTCCTGGTTGCTGGACTGATCAACCAGGCTGTTAGACGCGGCTGCTCGCAGCCTGACGTATGCTGCTCGCAGCCTGACGTATGGGAGCGTATGGGAGCGTGAGTCCTAAAATTCCAGTCTTCACATTATTCCATGCATTTTGATTTGTAGTTAAAAGGCATTGTTAATATTAATTTCATTGAAGTATGTGATGACGATCATGTTAAATCATGATCGTCATACATTATTAATACATTAATAATGTATGAATACATTATTTGGCAAAATAGATTTTTTTTATGTTAGAATCTCTTTCTCCTTTGCTTTTTCAGTTCTTCTTGCTTCATTCTGCTGATTGCATCTGCTTGCCGGTCCTTATCCTTTCTTATCTCATCTTTCCGTCGTTGTTCAATTTCGGCTTTGAATAACGCCAAGTGGAGTGCCGCAATTTCCTCAGGCTCCACATAGGAACCCATGCGCCTTGGTGACCGCAAGTTCGTCTTGTCTTCCCGGATAAAGGGAAAGTTTTCGTAATCGGAATTCGAATTTGATGAGGACAGAGGAGAAGGGAAGACATCGCAGTCTTGGCTCCAGTGGTAATCTCCCGGCTGGTCAGCAGACTTGAATGACTCTGTGGAGTACAGTCTGTAGTGATCCATGGTGGGACTTGGAACATTTGTCGACAGTGGTTCAGAGTGGATTGTTCTTGTAGCCTGGTTCGAGTGAAGGTTCCTATGGACAGTAGGTTGCTCGTGCAGGTAGTTTCTTTGTTGGATGGAGAAATTAAGCTGGGTTATGAGGATGCTATGATCAGAGACTGTGGGCTGAGACGGTGCCTCGCGTCTTGGAGGGAGCATGGGAGCTTGTACCAAGCGAGTTCTTGAAGGGACCGGGAGTTGTGAGGGCTCGGGCTGCTCAGGCGGTTGTTCTATGACCAGTCTATACCTCTGCAAAAAACACACCTCATTACACAAAGCAAAATACATGGAAAAACAAATCAGGAATGAATGTAACCTTATAGCTTCACAGATAACTAGCATTTTAATTTCACGCAGACAGCAAAATATTTCTGAAGCAGCAGTATAAGGTTGAACTTTGACTCACCCGAAGGCAAGCTGCCAGTCTCATCGCCAGAAACATCAACATGCAGCCCAAAAGAGCCGATAACACACCCACAAAGAGCATATTTGCGCTGTGTTCCTCCATCGAACTGTTATTCCTGTTTTCTGCAATAGGATTATAATTATTGTAATTACATTATCATTTTTTTTGAGGGGAAGGGAGATTTATTCCTTGTGGTATGTACTGGAATTGGTTAGATTATTAAACTAATAATAATAATAATAATAATAATATTATTATTATTATTATTATTATTATTATTATTATTATTATTATTATTATTATTTAATAATAATAATAATAATAATAATTAAAAGGAAACTTTTAATTAACGGTTTCATGGCACTTTGAAACTTTAGGAGAATTTCCTGCCCTCCTAACCTACCAGAGGACCCTTAACTTTATGTTTTGGAAAAAAGATCCATAATTTATTTTCAATTATTTTTAATTTTAAAATTACGTCCTGTGGGGAGCACAAATACCTTGGAGTAGTTATCAACATTGATAACAACTCACATTGTAAACGATCTTCACCGTAGGTTAAAAGAAAGATTTGAACCACTGAAAACACTTTCTGGTAAGGATATTGGTATCAATATTAAATATGCTAGATTATTCTATATGATGTTTGTTAGATCTCTCGTTGATTATAATGCTCTGCACTTAATTAATTTCCCCGCCTCTGTGTTGGACAAACTTGAAGTAGTACAGAATGAGGCCATGAGGATAATTCTTGGTGCCCCAAGATGTACAAGAATTATCAACATGAGGGAAGAACTGAAGCTTCCAACCATACTTAGATCATGCTATCTCACTGCAATGAAAGCTTAGGAAACACTATCTGTCTAGATTAAGCTTAGTTTCCCCCTTCACCAAATGCTCTGTAGTTCACTGTTATCTCTTCTTGTTGAAGAATTGTTCAATTTGATCTTCTAAATTTATTCGTTAATTAAAAGTTGGTTTATTGTGCAAATCTGTGGTTGTTACATTGTGCATGAAACGGAAAGGTTTACCTGTGTATGTCGTGTGAAGGTTTACTGTGCATACCATAGGAGGAGTTTACCTGTGTATAACATAGGAGTTTACCTGTATATAACATATAAGGAGTTTACCTGTGTATAACATAGGAGGAGTTTACCTGTATATAACATATAAGGAGTTTACCTGTATATAACATATAAGGAGTTTACCTGTGTATAACATAGGAGTTTACATGTGTATAACATACTAGTTTACATGTGTATAACATAGGAGTTTACATGTGTATTACATAGGAGTTTACCTGTGTATAACATAGGAAGAGTTTACCTGCGCATAACATAGGAGGAGTTTACCTGTGCACAACATAGCAGTTTACCTGTGTATAACATAGGAGGAGTTTACCTTCGTATGTCACGGAAGAGTCGCTGGAAGAGTCACTGTAGACAGTCGCTGGAAGAGTGACAACGATGTTTCCGTGACTGCATAGTCTGCTTCTTCTGAAGCAGTCACCATTTCACTGTCCAGTCCAAGTGCCAGTTCACCACGTCTCCCGGAACAGTCACCATCTCACTGTCCAGACACAGTGCCAGTCCACCACTTTTCCCAGAGTAGTCACCGTCTGACAGTCCAGACACAATGCTAGTCCACCACTTTTCCCGCAGCAGTCACCGTCTGACTGGCCAGACACAGTGCCAGTCCACCACGTCTCCCGGAACAGTCACCATCTCACAGTCCAGACACAGTGCCAGTCCACCACTTTTCCCAGAGCAGTCACCGTCTGGCTGGCCAGACACAATGCTAGTCCACCACTTCTCCCAGAGCAGTCACCGTCTGACTGGCCAGACACAGTGCCAGTCCACCACTTTTCCCGGAGCAGTCACCGTCTGACTGGCCAGTAAGCACCACTCCCTGCAACTAGCCGTCAAAAGAACACCACCACTCCCTGCGAATCTTGTCAGCGCCCCGGCTTCCTTCCGTCAGTAGGCTTCATGTGTTATCTACACAAGCATGTGCCGCATTCTAATACTGCTAATACGCTGTTGTATCTTGTAATTCGTATTATGCATCTTAAATTTTAAAAACATGATGTATTCATAGTTATTCTAGTGAGAAATAATAATAGTAATAAATATCTAGTTTAAATTAGTCACTATACAGTTGTTCATGGAATCACAAAAACACACAAACGTTTTTTCCTGCCCTTTGTTGCGGCGCCAGAGCTGGGGCAGGATGCTGACCCACGACAACTGTTGCTTTGTATATCCTTATCCCTGTTGCACCGTTGTCTTGTGTACCGTTATACTTCGTGTACCGTTATCCTTCGTGTACCGTTGTATTTAGTGTACCGTTATCTCGCATGCACCTGTCTCTCGTGTACCATTAGCATTTATATATACTTCTAGTGCACCATTATCCCTTGTTTAGCTTTATCCCGTGTGTACCGTTATCTCTCGTTGTCCATTAATATATATATACACTCTAATAATGTCACTTAGACAGCCTACAAGTTTGAAGTTTATAAATAGCCACTCCCCATACTCATCCTGTGAGCAGTAGTTTATTGTGTACCTCCATACTCATCCTGTGAGCGGTAGTTCATTGTGCACCCCATACTCATCCTGTGAGCGGTAGTTTACTGTGCACCCAAGGTTTCAAAACGTCATGAAACGGAACGTTCCGTTCCAAAACGGAACACGAACAAGGGGACACAGGTGGAAACTAAGTACCCAAATGAGCCACAGGGACGTTAGAAAGAACTTTTCAGTGTCAGAGTAGTTAACAGATGGAATGCCTTAGGCAGTGATGTGGTGGAGGCTGACTCCATACACAGTTTCAAATGTAGATATGATAGAGCCCAGTAGGCTCTAGTTCGACCCCCGCAAGCACAATTAGGTGAGTACGCACACTGTTGATTGACAGTTGAGAGGCGGGACTAAAGAGCCAGAGCTCAACCCCCGCAAGCACAAGTAGGTGAGTACAACTAGGTGAGAACAAAAAACTGAAGTATGGTGAGGATAAACTTTCAAAAATTTGTTAAGAAGAAAGTGTTGCATATGAATGACGCAGCCCATCCTCTTGTTGTGGTAGTACTCATAGCAAGGATGAGGACCACAATACATATACCGACCTACAACACAATTAGAAAGTTGAAATCGGTACTTTTGAATTTGGACAAACCGGAAAAGATTTTCAATTTGTTGCAAAGACAAACTAAACTAACCTAACCTAACCTTCCTGAAATTGAAATTGAAATAAGTTTATTGAGGTAAAATACACACAAAGGAATGAGGTAGCTCAAGCTATTCTCACCCCGTTCAGTACATCGTGTTAATACATACATATATATATACATCACAAACAATAAACATATTACCAAACATTCTAAGAGATAAACATCTACATTTCCTACCTAACCTTCCTAGGACTATTACACGATATCTGAGGCCTAATACAGTACATATGTGAGCTATACTAGGCCTAGGAATATTTAAGCTAGTTTTTTAACTTCATTTTTTCGGACTATAAAGTGAACAGTACCAAATTCTACTATCTAATTGCTTAGTACGTCAATCTTTGTACTACGGTGTACATAGTTACAAAAACTAAACAGGAAGATAGCGTGCATGACAAGTCCGATAAGTCAGGAAGGAAAAGATGTGTCCATATAAGTACAGAATATTTTCTAGGAAAAGAGTAAACACGGGCAGCAAGTCACTGCGTCATATCATATGGAAATGTTAAATAAGAGCGTGAGAACAACGATGTTAGAAGTGGCCGTGAAGAGGAAAATGTAAAGGTGAGTAATGGAAGATGACTCCACAGAACTAGCTTAAGGGTCTCATTTGTATAGATACTAAGTAGACAGTCCCATGGGGTTATATATATATATATATATATATATATATATATATATATATATATATATATATATATATATATATGCGGAAAATCCACAAAGAAATGGGAAAGAGAGGTGAACGTTTCGGCCCGTTAAAGCCTTTGTCAACATCAGACTTTCAGTCTGGTGTTGACAAAGGCTTTAACAGGCCGAAACGTTCACCTCTCTTTCCCATTTCTTTGTGGTTTTTCCGCATACAAATGATCAGTGTTTAGTGATCGTCAATTGCATATATATATATATATATATATATATATATATATATATATATATATATATATATATATATATATATATATATATATATATATATATGTCGTACCTAATAGCCAGAACGCACTTCTCAGCCTACTATTCAAGGCCCGAGTTGCCTAATAAGCCAAGTTTTCTTGAATTAATGTTTTTTCGTCTACCTAACCTACCTAACCTAACCTAACCTAGCTTTTTTTGGCTACCTAACCTAACCTTACCTATAAATATAGGTTAGGTTAGGTTAGGTAGGGTTGGTTAGGTTCGGTCATATATCTACGTTAATTTTAACTCCAATAAAAAAAAATTGACCTCATACATAGAGAAAAGGGTTGCTTTATCATTTCATAAGAAAAAAATTATGGTAAATATATTAATTCAGGAAAACTTGGCTTATTAGGCAAATCGGGCCTTGAATAGTAGGCTGAGAAGTGAGTTCTGGCTACTAGGTACGACATATATATATATATAATATATATATATATATATATATATATATATATATATATATATATATATATATATATATATATATATACTGATGTTTACATAGTGTTCTCTGATTGTGTCTATGGCACCTCCTGCTCTTCACTGGTTCTATTCTGCATTTTTTTCATATCGTACATTCCAGTATGTTGTTATTTTACTGTGTAGATTTGGGACCTGGCACTCCAGTATTTTCTACATGCATATAATTTGTATGACTTGTTGATATATGTGAGTGAGAGAGAGAGAGAGAGAGAGAGAGAGAGAGAGAGAGAGAGAGAGAGAGAGAGAGAGAGAGAGAGAGAGAGAGAGAGAGAGAGAGAGAGAGAGAGATGATTAAATTAATTAGTAATAATACCAAGCTTTAATTAGTAAAAATACCAAGGAATAATTAATAATAATACCAAGGATTAATTAATAATACCAATGAGTAAATAATAATTTAATTTGTAACAATATAAATGTTATCAATGGAGCTGTATTTCTCCACTTTTTCCTCTTCTAAATGGGAAAATGGGGAAAATTACCACTATGAGTAGTTGATCAGTTTAAGTACCTGGGACGTGACAAGATAAATTCGTACACGCGGCGTTGAGGTAAAGATGGGCAGATGCGGTGAGTGTGTGAGGAAGATGAGTAGATTTGGTGTGTGTCTTTAACTAGCGTCAAAAGATTGTCACTTGCTTAGTTAAACGAACTATGGGGGCTCAGTTCCTGAACCCATTATGTGCCGCTGTAACTCTTTCCACCACCGCCCACGGGATGAGTATGGGGTGCATAATAAAGATAGAAATTGAATTGGATTGTATCTGACACCGTGATAGGATGTCCCGGGCTCTCCCGCTCCCGCCTGGACACCATCCCACCCTCCAAATCCCACACCAGCACCAACTAGACTGACAGGCGCCTATATTGATTGTTGTCGCCGGAGGCGGCTAGTTTATTGTGCACCCCATACCCATCCTGTGAGCGGTAGCGCAAAAAGCATTACAGAGGGCACAAAAGGTCTTTATCAGACCTCATCTTAGATTATTACGTAAACAATTTCATCTATCCTTCACACCTTATAGTTACAATGTCAGCTAGTTACAGAGAATGTTCTATTTCAAGAGCTATGTATTTACAGTAAGTCATTATACATTAATGGTAGGTCTTATCGCTAATACATAATAGTTTGACCAATGGGGATATTACAGAGTCATAGGAGAGCTTCTGTTTATTATTAGTCTTCACAATACACTATTTGTTTCTTAATCTCATGTCGTTTATCTACTGGAAGCGAAATATGGATACAGTGCAAGGATTTCAGGTAATTTATCCATGGCAATAAGATACGTTGCCATATCATACAGAGTGAGCTTAGATTTATCTCTAAATGGCTCAATTTTACTACAATCCAAGATATAGTGTTCGAGTGTGTGTCCCTGTCTTTGTCCACACACTTTACACTTTACTTCATCTAGATCCCTATACAAGCCGAATTGCCAGAGATGCTTGTAGCCAAGTCTTATACGAGCTGTGACAACATCTGTTAGTCTACTGACTTTGTTACATGCTCCATACACATGTTTTATTTCACACATTTCATTGTGATGAACAATGGACCTGCTAGTTCTAGTTTGCACTGTTCTACTTTCTTTAAATCCATCCAGGAGTTCTCATCTAATGACACTTTTAAGATATTGGTTCCAAAGGGCCTCCAATTACGGGCTCACCATAGCCCGTGCTACATGGAACTTTTTGTTCAGAGTAGCTGAATAACAACAACAACGTACAGTCCCGTCACTTGAGAATGAACCATGTATGCTCGAAACGTTGTGTAAATTTATAATTAGTGTAATACATTCTGCAGTTAAATTATTATTTTAGTTTACCTCTAGCAAAGATGACATTTGGAGAAATCATCTTCCAATTAAACCAAGATGCAAACATGTAAGAGCACTAGTTAGAGGGATAGATGCCCTAAACAAGAAAATAATCAACAGAAAATGCAGTCTTATTCAATGATGACTGCCATATATATATATATATATATATATATATATATATATATATATATATATATATATATATATATATATATATATATATATATATATATATATATATATATATATATATATATATATATATATATTCCGGAATGGGATGGAATATATATATATATATTCGAGTTCATTTTCTCATTTTCTTCATTGCGTTTTTTACTTTCAATTCCCTGTGCAGTCTATTTATCGCTTCTGCTTGCCGTTCTTTTTCTTTTTTCAAACGATCTTGATATTCTTTTGCTACTGTGGCTTTGTAGAGCGCCAGCTTTAGCGGATGGATGTCTTCAGGCTCCACATATGAAGGAATGTGCTTTGGTGGTGTCCAGCTTGTCTGATTTTCGTTGGCAATGGCAAAGTTTACATAGGGGGTATTCAGGAACGGGGAGCCTATGTTCTCGTAACGAGGGCACGGGCTGACACGGTACTCATCTACCACCTCGTAGACGTGGTCTACAAATGGTTCAGTAGACAGCGTGGGCTGTTGCTGTGTATAATGTTCTTGAGCGGAGGAGCCAAGCAGGGTTGTCGGACAGGTGGACGGTTGACGTTGTGGGTGTGTGGCAGTTGATATGACTTCAGTTTTCCTGGGGCATGACAGAGGTGACAAGTTGAGGTCCGCCTGTACACGGGTGTTACTTGCCAAACGTTTCTGAAAACAAATGCAGGGCATTGAACTAAATAAAAATTTGTAAACAAACGCAGGTTTTGTCTAAGTGCTGTTGACAATATATTTGTGTCACATTCATTCCAAATCATACAATATTGTTAATAAACGTATATGACCCGAATGTGTAAGTTGACATAATCGTATTATTTTAAGGTGAAAAATGTACGAATAGTCACAACACATGAGGATTGTAAAAAGCTTCAGGAATGGGAACTTCAACTCAGATATATACAAAGTAATGAGAATGTGGGAGGGAGCAGGAAGACCATTTGAACGGAATGGGGATGGAAAGCGGACGACTTCCTCATACACCAAAAGAGAAAGATCTGTGAGTTTATATAACAGATTGTCTAGTATCATTGGCTCATATAACCCCCTGGCCTGACACACGTGGCTCATATAACCCCCTGGCCTGACACACGTGGCTTATATAACCCCCTGGCCTGACACACGTGGCTCATATAACCCCCTGGCCTGACACACGTGGCTCATATAACCCCTGGCCTGACACACGTGGCTCATATAACCCCTGGCCTGACACACGTGGCTCATATAACCCCTGGCCTGACACACGTGGCTCATATAACCCCCTGGCCTGACACACGTGACTCATATAACCCCTGGCCTGACACACGTGACTCACACGAAAAAGCAAATATCAGCAAATGCGAAATTCTCACACAAAAGGATAGCATTTAAGAATCATAGGATTTCACCTTTGTAAACGCACATTAATGAAACTATGTAAAAGTCGCCTCGAACACGGTTTATGTAGGACATGTAAATCTGTGTATTTATATTTGTAAGTTAGGTCAGCATTTAGATTAGCATTACTAGGATAGATTAACATTGAAAAAGTACTACAATCGACCACAGATTGTTCAATAAATCTCTGAACTATATGTTTAACAGAGCTTTAACACTATGCACGGAGGACAGAATAAAATGTATATATGCTGGTTAGCATTATAAATGTGTGGCCACGTCTGAGGTAGAAAATAATAATAATAATAAATGCTTTGAATACGATGTTTCCACGGGCCATTGTGGTGTATTCCACCACATCCTGGACACCCCCCTCCTCCCTACGAAACGGAACATGAGACCAAACTAGATATCTAGAGGTACACATTGCCAGTCTCCGTGGTGTAGTGGTAAGACACTCGCCTGGCGTTCCGCGAGCGCTTTGTCCTGGGTTCGTATCCTGGCCGGGGAGGATTTACTGGGCGCAAATCCTTAACTGTAGCCTCTGTTTAACTCAACAGTAAAATGGGTACTTGTTTGTAACAACTATTCTTCGTCGTATTCCAGGAAACATAGGATCTAGGTGAACAGAGGCATCAGGTTTATGGAAACGTGCCCAAACCTCTCCCTCTGTCCGGGAACCTGACTCGGGTGCAAAAGAGTGAGCAACATAAGGCGGAGTGACTTTACGGGCTATTCATGCCCGTGCCACCTCTTGGGTGGCTTAATCTTCATCAATAAGTAGAGTGACTGCATTTTTTTTTCAACACATTCAGCACCGTTCCTGTGCCAGGTAAGTCCACCACGGGCTCACCATAGCCCGTGCTACTTGTCCCGCTCCTGTGCCAGGTAAGTTACGGGCTCACCATAGCCCGTGCTACTTGTCCCGCTCCTGTGCCAGGTAAGTTACGGGCTCACCATAGCCCGTGCTACTTGGAACTTGTTCCGAGTAGCTGAATCTATAACAACAAGAGTGACTGACCCGAAGGCGAAGGAGGAGAGTGCAGAGGCAGCCACACAAGCCGAGAGCGACGGCCACACACAGCATCACCCCCAACACCAGGTACCCGCTGGTCGAGTCACTGTGCACTTGCAACACTACCGTTGGACACATCTCTGCAACAACCAACACTTATCACCATTCCTACTCTCATGTTATTACTTATTAAATAAATACGCATAATGTAAAATATTATTATTATTAAAATTAGTATTATTATTTTTAAAAATTGTATTATTATTATTATAATTATTTTTAAAAACTTTATTATTATTATTATTTATTATTATTTGGTTGGATATATTTTCACAATTACCAGTGATTTTCCAATTAATACTATTTTTGTGTGAATCTTTGTGACAGCTTTAGTGAAGTTTTTGGGTAGACTGTTTTCGTGTGTTGCTAAGTGATTTGACTAGTCGCACTTAACAGATGTCAAGTTCAAGCTTTCAACGTCAAATGGTCAAGGTCATTTGAACAATTCAAGCTTTTGTGGTCAAAGGGTCAAGGTAAGCTAATCAAGTTCAGGCTTTCATGATCAGAGTGTCAGGGTAAACTGATCAAGCTTAGGCTTTCATGGTCAGAAATCAGTAATCTTGCTAAGTTCAGGCTTTCATGATCAGAGCATCAAGATAAGCTGATCAAGTTCAGGCTTTCATAGTCAAAATATTAAAGTAAGCTGATCGAGTTCAAGCTTTCATGGTCAGTGGGTCGGTGAGAAATTTGAAAAGCAAAGTTTGTTTGGGTTAGGATGTCCATGTAAAGCGCGCTGGCCATCCTAGCTTTAGCGTCCTCACAGTTGCCTGTCGCTTGCTTGTGTCTAGACCAGAGGAAGGCTGCCATTATCTCTGGCCTTCCTGATTCACTAAAGCTTGCTCTCTCTCTCACCCAGAGGTTGAATGCGACGTAAGGTGACGACACTCTGACCAATGATATTGGGCACGGTGATCTTCATTGAACTTCTGCCGAGAGAACAATGTATTGTGTTGCTCTCTATCTCGATGATGCTCTCTTTCTGAAAATATAGGTAATAATTAAAATTTATAGAAACACACACAGCGGCAGGGACTTGACAACACAAAAAGTTGTGGTACCTGACAGGATCTCACGATGGATCATTAGGGAAGCTGCCGAACTCCTCTTAAGGCTACTAGCAAAGTTCATCAACACCAACAGTCATCTCCACTACCACAACCAGTCATTTCCACTACCACAACCACCAACAGTCATCTCCACTACCACCACCACCACCACCAGTCATCTCCACTACCACAACCAACACCACAACAGTCATCTCCACTACCACCACAACCACCACTGCAATCGAAAACGCTCACCTGACTTCCGAACCGCAAAGTGATGTTTATATACCAAACATGGTTGTGTACAGCCTGAAAGGTCCTGACGGTGTCGCAGGCGACCACAGTCAGGGTGAAGGGGACGCTGGAGCTGGCCTTGTACACCTGCTGGTCCCCGGGGGCGCTCTCCCAAGACAGGGAGTACACCGAGGAGTGATACGGAGTCGTTTCACACCTCCCTGTAAATTAATGTTTGAATAATTTATAGCCATTTACTTTAACCCTTTATTTGTAACTAATCCATTTGATTTAATAAGGCAATAAATACAAAAATATAAATATTGCGGTAAAAACAATATTGTTGTGGAATTTAGACCCGCCCCCTTCCCCGAGAAGCCTAATGAATACCTTATATATGTCAAATAAATTTTATAATTATTTTAATCCCAAGTTTAAAATGGTTGTTTGTCACTATGAATTTGTATACATGACAAATTTCATATGAGAAAATTATGCGTATATAAAATTTAGCTGAGAAACTGTTAATATATAAACTTAGGACAATAGGAACAAGGTGAGCCAGGGCTGGCAAGGGCTGAGGGCTGGCAAGACAGGGACTCCAGTTTGACACTCGCCTGTGTCAAACACCTGGCAACGGCAAACATATGCTCCCTCGAAGTGCACGTCACTTTGACAGTTAAATAACGATGGGTTTGGATAATGACTGGTTGGGTGGCCGGACGAACAGCTCTTAGTTCCTTGGACCTCTATAAGCCAAACTGCCCCCGACACTGGGGCAACTTGACAACAGGCGCCCAACTCGCTGTTACCTGGATTTCTGAATTTCCCATTTTTTCGTGACTACTCAACTCATCCTCTCGAACAGCATATCGCATTTTTACGTATAAATCCCCTAAGGCCAGAAACTGATGTTCTAATAATCATAGCGGCTGGCAAAATTTACGTGATATGTCGTTTTCTATTCGTGGGTCCTCTGTTAGGTTAGATAATTTAGTGCATCAGTTTAGTGACGTTGGGGATGCTCCTGAGGACAGGGTGCGTTGACAAGTCTGAGAAAATCCGCAGGAGCTGTGATGAGGGCTCGAACCTATGCGGTGGGTATTCCCACGCACACGCCCAAGTCAACTAGACCACGGCATGGTAATAAGGATTGTAACTTGGAGTTCTACTGAACACAGAAGGATTTCCTGAGAGGCTTCTGTGATCACACAACTAGTGTGATTACTCTCGCACTAGTATCACAATTCTCTGTGTACAAGTTTGTGGTAGCTGACACAATGATGGTGAAAAACGCGAAGGATCACAACTTGTATAGCGTCTATTTACTAAAGATAACTGATCTAAAATGAGGTGCATTGTTAAATATTTCATATACCAGTATTTAAATGTTTATACTAAATTGGTTACGGGGCCGCACCCGGGTGTGTCTTCCCTCCCTCCCCTCTCCCTGCTCCCCTTCGACCTTTCTAACCCAACACCACTCTCTCCCAGTCTCCCCCTCTCAACCAATCTTCCCCCTTCTCTCACCTCTTCCCCAGTATCCCCTACCCCCTCTTTACCTCCTCCTCCCCTCCCAACACCCTTCATCTCACCAGAGTAAACTTGTTATTGACATATTTAGTTATATCTGCATTATGTGGCTACAGTAGACAATACGAAGGGTTACAGAGAGTATGTCAAGAGCTAGTTATGTGATGCAGAAAATCCCTATAATACAGCATGGTAATCATAGAGGGCTTTCTGATCAGTAGTCTGCACTGGCAGACTCCGGGTGCATTATGAGGAATATCATCAACACAAGAGTGAATATTGTAGCAGTGATACTAAAAGTCCCCATCTCGCAGAATGGTTAGTCATACACGCCCAAATGTTCAGGTGTCTGCACTGGCAAACTTTTTGGTGCATTATGAGGATATTCTCAAGAACACGAGAGTGAATAAAGTAATTGCAAAGCTCCAGGTACCTCATGCCGGTGGGTCTGAAAGGCCTAATAACTGGACATTCAGCGATGTAGTGTGGGAGGTCATGACCCAATTCCTGCTCATAGAGTTTGCACCTGGAGTGCTCAGGATTGGGCGACCCGTCACCTGTAGCCACCTGCCACAGGTAACGGTAACCCAACCTGATCCTGGCAACCACTGTGTCGCACAGTCTGCTCCACGTTTTGTACTTCATAAGTTTCGGATCTGAAAAAACATAGCTCTTTATAGTGGTGTTTTCAGGCCGTTGTGCTTCAGTAATTTCTCTCCTATCGGACCTGAGTGTTTGGACGGGGGGTGTAAGGATGAAAATCTCTACGGTTTTTACAACATGATTTTATTTCAGTTTTCATGAAAATTGCTTTAATTAATTTAATCCTCCTTTCCGGACCCAAAATTGGGTCCACTATTTTTCTCTTGATTTTGACCGACGGACGTATTTTTAAGTCTGATGAAAAAATATTTCTATAAAATTCAATTCTTTTCCGATCGACTTGGGGATAGTATGAACATGTTTGCCATGAAATTTACGTTTTCTCTAATAGCCACATAGCCTATTTAGGAGAACGGCATTGTATTGTATCTTCGTGGTAAAACTATTGTATTGTTGACAGGACGAGTGTAATCGATGTAGTTTCTTTATTTGGTGCCGGTCTAACGCATTCTTGTGTGACATTTTATACATATGTTCTTCTAGAACATTCTATTGCGAACACATTGGTACAAAAATGAATTATCTACATCGAAAATTAAGGTCAGCACAGTGAAAAGAGTATACACTTTTCAGTGTTGCCGCTCGATCCCCCGAAACGCTGAGATCACATTGCTCTAGTTAATTTTCTGTTTGCTGACAGCGCGAAAGTGTTGCAAATTTTGAAAATTGAAAATTTTGGTCAATTAAGAGGACGATATTTCTTCAAGTATGGCACTGGGGCTGACCCCTACTGGTTTATGACACTCATATAATCCCCTTGTATTATATTTAAAAGTTGAGTGAGACTAGCTCCAAGTGCCTGACCTACTTCTTACATACACACAAACCCGGTAAAAGGTCCGGTAGTACAGTCGGGTTCGTTCTCGACTCACAATCGATAATTCTGTGTTCGAATCCCGGGCGGGACAGAAAGGGTTGGGTGCATTTCCTATCACATAATGCACCTGTTCACCTAGCAGTAAGTGAGCTGATTAACTCAGGAGTTAGTGAGCTTGTTGTGGGGCGGGCATCCTGGACGGGGTCAGTAATTCCACCTTGGGGTGGATGACCTCGATATAAGGCTAACACGTATGAATACACTCTGGCTTCCTGTCCCCCGACACAATGAATTATTATTATTAAACAGACATTTTGTTTTATAGATTGTGAACGATCTATATTTGAAGCCATAACCAATAAGCCTATACGTCAATGCGCTGGAGTGATAATATAATATATACGTTAATGTAACATGTGGGTATATACACTAATTTATTTAGGCCTAGTCTAACTTATATCAGAGTTAAGGCACAAATAGGCATATTTAGGCAAATAATTTTGCTTTGTTAGTTTTGATTCCATTGCAGTAACGGGTAACGTGTCGCATGCAAGAATCACTGCAAATCATCGCCTCTCACATCGCTGTTCCTCGTATCAAAGTAAATTCGCTCATTTATGACCCATACCAGGAATTCCTTAATGGTGATCCCCCAATCTAACTAGAAAATAAGGAAGCAACGTCACAGACCAGCTTGTGAACACTACACAAGGCCGCATGTTAGAAGCCAACATGTTCACCCAATAGTGAACATTCGACAGATAGCCTCACACTTGGCTACAGAGACCTCTATAACCCTAACAAGCTTCCTGTCCCTCACAATGGTATACCGTATATCAAACCCAACCGACAAAAATAAGTGAACCATGAGATAATACCAAAATGAGTGAGCCGGGTGAACGAGCACAGGCAGGCCAACAAACCTAGTCCTTCAGGCCTTCGGTAGGGCGGTCATAACTTGAAAAATGTTCCACGTACTTGGGAATAGTCTAGGAGTAAATCCTCTTGGAGATCAAGAGCAGACCTTTAGCAAACAGCACCTCTAGACTGTCAACACATTGATACAAGGAAATGTGGCCAGTCTTCATAGCACACCCATCATAGACACTACGGTGCTAACTAAGGATCATTCTTTGCAGTACCAATCAAACATAGTCAAGCAAGCAAGGTTATAACCGAAAAAGGGTTCTTTTTTTAAGAAGCTCCAAATACTTCAGGCATCACCTCCAGTCAAATAGAAATCCTTCCAAGGAATTACCTTCAATCCCCCGCTACAATATTAAAGACAATCCAGGCAATAAGCCACGTCTCCGAAACAATTGAAACTGCTATCTGCATTATGTCTAAACCAGGCAGAGGCAGGCACATGCCAAGGAACTGCCGCCTATCGCCATACTTTATTTTACATTATGTTTGAGAAAATAATATTAACCAGATTTGCAGGCGATGAGTCACAAAAACGTGGCTGAAGTATGTTGACCAGACCAGAGAATGGTCCAGGACGGACCGAAACGTCGTCGTCCCTTCAACTTCTAGTGTGTGGTCTGGTTAACCAGATTTAGCTGTTATATAGAGTACAATATTCCGTTCTCAGCGAAGCTATTTGATTTTAGAAGCCGTAGGTCTTCCTAACACATAAGCTGACATGATGTTGTAGAAAGCATTCCTAAATAACCACATTACAACTAGAGATGTAAAGAAAGTATCTGATAGCCAATGATAAGATAGGCTCACATTTGAGAAACTTGCTTAAACTCAACTGAATCTTCATAAGACTAATGACTAATATTAAAAAAAATGAAAAATAAAACTAGCCCAACAAAAATTCAGAAAGAGGACTCCAAAGACCGGATATTCTGAGTAATCTGGCAGAAAACCCCAAGAACTGGGAAGCCCCAGATCCAGTCTTGGTACTGTCCTTCCTCACCTCCTTGGGAGGGTTTTTTATCTGTGAGTGCCAAAGGAGAATTTAACTGCTTGTTACGAAAGGATTTACTGATGTACGTAACATGAAGGTTACTGGAACATAAAGCCGGATCCAGTATTCACGGACTAAAAATTAGAATGAGCCCTATAAAGTTTCAAGACCTTTTTTTCTCAGTTCAGATAGGCTCCAAGGCATTTGAGCCTTGGAGCCTATCTGAACCTCGATAACCCCTGAGACTTAACGCTTAAGGATTCTGACCCCTAGATACCTAAGCCTTGGGGGCCTCGGGGTTGAGTCTCTGAGCCTCGAGGCACCTAAGCCTTGGGGCCACTCTGAGCCTTCGGGCTCTCTGAGCTTCGGAGCTCATTGAACCTCACATACCTTAGCACCTCAGGGTCTCTGTGAGCCTCGGAGCTTCTGAACCTCTCATTGCCTCGAGCCTCTCAAAGTCTCAGGGTCTCTGAGCCTCGAGAGCCCTTAAGCCTCTGGGCTCCGATCCAGTTTTTCACTGCGTCAACCCGACGCTGGGTGCTCACGTCAAGTTAAGAATTTCAGCCCGTCCTCCAAACAAAGACCCAAAAGTGATTCCATGCACTCACCAAACCCCAGCTGTTTATGAATGAAAAACGGTTTACACACGACTCACAACTGATGACTTTCGAACACTTCCGGAACACGTGCTTCACTGACGAATTGTGTTCAAACCACAACGCTGTAAATGTAAACCCACGTACTACAAATACAAATAATCGCAAACAGAACCTAAACACTTAACCTAACCTAAACCTATGCCTATATATGCACAATATGCTAATATATTATAATATTTATTTATATTTGAGAAAATTCCCGTTTTGAATAAAGAGCATGTTAAAATTTATGAATGCATCTGTGGAGTCGACCGCTGGATGTAATGGACTTGAGTCGAGGACGGGTTGAGAATTTACCTCTGTATGACTCCTTGGCTGACAGGCGTTGGAGGTAGACCAACAACAGGAGTACGGTGGACCTTAACATGGCTGAATCAGTCCAACACCTGACTTCTGTATCTACTGACACTCTTGGATCAGTGACCTTCAGATTGACAAGTGAGTGACGCTCCTCCCAACTGGCACTCCACTACCACACTGAAGAACCACGAGCCGCGCTTTGCCTCTTTCAGTTTAGCTTAGACGACGCTCACATCGTTCACTGGCGTTTCACGCATTGTTCGTTTTCTAATTGTTTAAACCTGAATATATCGGCCCCATTCTCCTAAAATGAGTACTGTTGAACCGCTAAAAGTTCACGTTTTGTATTACCGAATTAGCCCAGATAGCATTCTAGATATTTATACTGTGAAACGTGAACATCTCGGTCTAATAGTACATATTGGTACGCTCGACCAAACAGTTGCTAAAGTACTATAATTTTAGGAGAATGGGCTGGAACATATCGTTAGGCTAGGCAAGAGTTATGTTGGGATGGGTTGAATTTGATTAGATTAGGTTATATTTTGCTGGTTTGGGTAAGGATAGATAGGTTTTATTCTATATACATTGGTGAACCATCTTATGTACAAAGTTACCTGTATACCCGAGCTTCCGGTATAGTGCCTTAGTTTTTATATATCTCATTTAATTTATATTATATTAAGTTGCAGATAAATATATACACCAAGAGGTTCTCACCGCTTCTCGGTGTATATAAACTGAGTCTCTGGATCCTCGTCGCGACTACAGTTTACTTTAGTTTACTTTAGTTTACTATTACGTTCAGGACAAACGCATACCTGCTGGTTGATCAGTTTAGTTCATTTATTATACACCCCATACCAATTCTATGGGCGGTAGTTGAAAAAAGTTAAGACATGACAATGTGTTTAGGAACCCAACCCCAAAATTAATTAATACCGTCAAGAGTAACTCCAAACGAAACTAATATTAAGTTACAAGAATATTAAATCATTAAAGTCGCTTCTTGAGTCTTGATTAAAGGGAAGATAAGGATGGATAGAGGAGGATTTTTGGGGTTCAAAAACAGTCAATAGGGAATTTTGCTTGTAGAGAGGTTAACAAAACGTAAAATCACTACTGAGGTTTATGCTTGATCTGTGTGACATCCGAATGATGTTTAATGCAACAGTGTGGGTAGAATTGTTTTGTTAATTTAAACAATTCCTTAAGAACATAAGAACATAAGAACAAAGGTAACTGCAGAAGGCCTATTGGCCCATGCGAGGCAGCTCCTATTCTATAACCACCCAATCCCACTCATATACTTGTCCAACCCGTGCTTGAAACAATCGAGGGACCCCACCTCCACAATGTTACGCGGCAATTGGTTCCACAAATCAACAACCCTGTTACTGAACCAGTATTTACCCAAGTCTTTCCTAAATCTAAACTTATCCAATTTATACCCATTGTTTCGTGTTCTGTCCTGTGTTGATACTTTTAATACCCTATTAATATCCCCCCGGTTATGTCCATTCATCCACTTGTAAACCTCTATCATGTCACCCCTAACTCTTCGCCTTTCCAGTGAATGCAACTTAAGCTTTGTTAATCTTTCTTCATATGAAAGATTTCTAATTTGGGGAATTAACTTAGTCATCCTATGCTGGACACGTTCAAGTGAATTTATATCCATTCTATAATATGGCGACCAAAACTGAACTGCATAATCTAAATGGGGCCTAACTAGAGCAAGATATAGCTTGAGAACCACACCAGGTGTCTTGTTACTAACGCTGCGATTAATAAATCCAAGTGTCCGATTTGCCTTATTACGAACATTTATGCATTGATCCTTTTGTTTTAAATTCTTACTAATCATAACTCCCAGATCCCTTTCGCAATCCGACTTCGCAATCACAACACCATCTAGCTCGTATCTTGTAACTCTATCATCATTACCTAACCTCAGAACTTTACATTTATCAGCATTAAACTGCATCTGCCAATCCTTTGACCATTTCAAAACCCTATCTAGATCAACTTGAAGTGATAGTGAGTCCTCCTCCGAATTAATTTCCCTACCGATTTTCGTATCATCGGCAAATTTGCAAATGTTGCTACTCAAACCTGAATCTAAATCATTTATATATATTATAAACAACAGAGGTCCCAGGACAGAGCCTTGAGGCACTCCACTTACAACATTTTCCCACTCTGACTTGATTCCATTTATACTAACTCTCTGTTTCCTTTGGTATAGCCATGCCCTAATCCAGCTTAATATAGCACCCCCAATACCATGAGACTCTATCTTTTTAATCAGTCTTTCATGTGGCACTGTATCAAAAGCTTTGCTAAAGTCAAGGTATACAACATCGCAATCCTTACCACTATCAACTGCCTCAACAATGCTAGAATAAAAAGATAACAAATTTGTTAAACATGAACGGCCATTTATAAAACCATGTTGCGACTCAATTATTAATTTATGTTTTTCAAGATGAAGACGAATTTTATTTGCTATTATAGATTCGAGTAACTTTCCCACAATAGACGTTAGGCTAATTGGTCGATAGTTAGACGCAAGTGATCTATCTCCTTTCTTAAAAACTGGTATCACATTAGCAACTTTCCAAAACTCCGGAACTCTGCCTGACTCTATTGATTTATTAAATATGGTTGACAGTGGGTCACAAAGCTCCTCTTTGCATTCTTTAAGCACCCTGGCAAACACTTCATCCGGCCCTGGGGATTTGTTTGGTTTGAGTTTTACTATTTGTTTAAGAACATCCTCCCTGGTAACTGTTAAACTCGTCAACCTGTCCTCGTCCCCACCCACATAGACTTGTTCGGCTGAAGGCATATTGTTAAGTTCCTCTTTAGTAAATACAGATACAAAATATTTATTAAAAATACTACTCATCTCTTCATCACTATCTGTTATTTGACCTGTCTCAGTTTTTAATGGACCTATCCTTTCCCTAGTCTTAGTACGATATAACTGAAAAAACCCTTTAGGATTTGTCTTTGCTTGCCCTGCTATGCGAACTTCATAGTTTCTTTTTGCTTTCCTTATCTCTTTTTTAACATTTCTAACCAGTTGTACGAATTCCTGTTCTAAAGTGACCTCCCCATTTTTAATCCTTTTGTACCAAGCTCTCTTTTTACCTATAAGGTTCTTCAAATTCTTTGTTATCCACTTTGGGTCATTAGTATTCGATCTATTCAATTTGTATGGTATACTACGTTCCTGTGCTTTGTTTAGAATATTCTTAAATAAGTTATATATTGAATCCACATCGAAATCCCCATAAGTCACCTATCGCTGGGTTCATGTCTCGCACCAAGACCGGCCCACACCCCATACCCAAGACTTTCCAATCAATTTGACCCAAAAAATTTCTTAGGCTATTAAAATCAGCTTTTCGAAAATCTGGCACTTTAACAGAATTTTCTCCTACTGGTCTATTCCATTCTATGCTAAATCTGATTTCTTTGTGATCACTGCTCCCTAGCTCACTCCCTATTTCGATGTCATTTATTTGCGTTTCCCTGTTAGTTAACACTAAATCTAAAATATTATTTTCCCGTGTTGGTTCCTTAATGTGTTGCGTAAGAAAGCAATCGTCAATTAATTCTAGAAAATCTTCTGCTTCACTATTCCCTGTTTTGTTCAACCAGTTTATTCCGCTAAAATTAAAGTCACCCATGACATAAATACTGTTAGATCTAGATGCTCTAGATATTTCATCCCATAGATGCTTTGCTTCCATTCTGTCTAAATTTGGTGGCCTATATATTACTCCTATTATAATATTATTAGCTTTTTCGTTTAATTCAATCCAAATAGTTTCTGTGTGTGGCTCTGTTTTGATTCCCTCTTTGAGACTACATTTCAAATTGTCCCTAACATATATGGCTACTCCACCTCCTCGTCTAATATATCTATCTGTGTGAAATAGTTTAAATCCATATATTTGATATTCAGCTAATAGTTCTCTATTTTCTACATTCATCCACGTTTCGGTAAGTGCAATAATATCTATTTTTTCTGTGCAGACAAGAGCATTTAATTCGTTAATTTTATTTCTTAGACTTCTACTGTTAGTGTAATATACCCTAAGTGAATTGTTATTTTGCGGACCTTCTCTTTCCCTGGTCGTTTTGCCAATTCCTTTCTCCCACAAACACATACTTTTATTACCTCCTTCCTCCAAATCAATTCCCATACCTCTATCTACTAACAGTTTAAACCCAAACAAACACCTCTAACCACTTCTTCTAACGAGTTCGCAACAGCAACAACCCCAGCTCTCGATAGATGCACCCCATCACGAGCATACATTTCATTTCTTCCATAGAAGTGTTCCCAGTTGTCTATGAAAGATATTGCATTTGATTTGCAATATCTTTCCAGCCGGCAATTGACACCAAGTGCCCTCGATATCCATTCATTTCCCACTCCCTTTCTTGGAAGAATGCCACATATGATCGGGATTCCTCCCTTGCTCCTAACTAACTCAATGGCGGTTTTATACCTCTGAATCAGTTCCTCACTCCTAACTCTGCCAACATCATTTCCTCCCACGCTAATGCAAATAATGGGATTGTTCCCATTACCAGCCATAATATCATTCATGTTGTTTATAATATCACCAATGCCAGCTCCGGGATAGCAAACCCTTAACCTGTTCCCCCTATCTCTAGCACAAAACGTTCTATCCAAATACCTTATCTGGGAATCTCCCACAACTAATGTTTGCTTAGGTACTTCCTTTACCCTCTGAGGGGCCTGCGCTTCCTTTCTCTTCGTTGCTTTCCCTTTTGCGCGATCCACAGTCTCTCCACAGCACTCGTCCTCCAAAACGTCAAATGAATTAGAGGTTGCTATGGCGTTTGAAGGCGGCTTTATCAAAGTCTTCTTAAGGCCCCTGTCTTTCACAACTCTCCAAGACGAGGTCCCTTTACTGCTGGTCTCCTCCTTCGTTACTTCTCGTTGTTCTTTAAGCTGACGCACCTCCTCCCGCAGAAAGGGAGGAGGTGCACCTTCCTTGCAGGAAGGAAGGAGGGGAGGCTGGTGATATTGTCAGTTATATGTAGGACTCTGCACACATCGTGACAGGTTTGTGGGTAGTTTAGTTCATTTATTATGCACCCCATACCCATCTTGTGGGCGGTGGAAAAAGGTTACAGAGGCACATAATGGGCTCAGGGACTGAACCTCACAATTCATTTAGCTAAGCAAGTTACAATCT